GGGGTTTTGAGGTTCCAGACGGACCGGAGCGTCCTTGTCCCTACATCGCAACCTGTTGTGGCTTGGCGGGGTTGGGGGTGGAGAGGAGCATGGGGTCGGTGCTTTCTTTATTGGGAAGAGTAAAGGGTAGCCACACCGGTCGGCTCCAGGTGGCAAAAAGACAGCATCCTAGATGCCTCCGCAGACAGCAGACAAAATGGGGAGGCATCCAAAGTACCCTGGAGGGCAGGGTAAGGTAGCCAGGGGTAGCCACTTTCCATAGTCTTCAGAGTATGCTAGCTGTTCTCCAAATGTCTAGATTTTATTGTGCCTGAAGAATTACCGTGTTTTTTTGTATGATATTTTTTAAATGTTAAATATTTTACGGTAAGAGATGGTCAAGAGAACAAATGTTTTTGTTTTGGTGCCACTTCCATTCCAATAATAAATAATATTCCTTTTTGCAAGTCTTTTTAAAAGACAGGCTCAAACTTTCAATATTTCATCACAAAATCCAGAGATGTAAATAGTTCTTGACACTTACTTTTTTATTTTTAGCTTTTAGTTATTGATGGACCTTTATTTTATTAGTTTATTTATATGTGGTGCTGAAAAACCAACCCAGTACCTCACACATGTTAGGCAGTGCTTTACCACTGAACCAAAACACCAGCACCAACACTTATTTTACAGTTTCTTACAATTTTGACTTGGTTTATAGTTTTGCTTTCTCAAGGAAGCAATTTTAAATCTGGAAACACCAAATAGACAAAATCACAATGCATTTTCAATAATTTGTTCAATCTTTTTAATACTTCACCACAAAATCAAGATGTAAATATAGTTCTTGACATTTATTTTACAGTCAGGTATAGTTTCTTACAGGTATAAATACCAAAAATGCAAAGAAAGTATTCAGCATAAATACAACCAAGAGAAAAATAAGGATTGGATTTACATTAGTATTTGGATATCAGTGACTTTACACAAAGGAAAATGTACAGTTGTTTTATGTTTTTTAGAGTTTAGTTGATTTGGTCTGCTTCCACACTGAGGATACAGTACTGAGATCTGCTATTTAAAGAAAGTAATCTGACCCCTGTGGTCAAGTCTATGTGTAGGAAGAACATATCTCCCCTAGTTCAAGCTGCACCTGAAGTGGTTAGCCCCAGTTAACTGTTCTATCTTTTAATTTAAACCAAACCAAACCAAATCTAGAATGATATCAACTACAAGCAAATAGAAATATTAACTCTGATGAACAGAAACAACACTAAATCTTTAGAAAATCCAAAATCTTTTCTTCATATTCAAAAGGATTCAATTAAAGCACCCAAGTAGAACATAATTTACACTCTTTATTACGTTTGATTTCAGGACGCTTTAAAGATATGTGTATTTTCCCCTCAGAATCAGCAGAATTAAAAGCTTAGTCTACTTAAAGCACATCAAGATGAAAATAAGTCTGTCATAAAATGATAGTGAAATATTCCCACATTAGACATGATTGCATTCCAAAACCATACACTGAAGAAAAAAACAGATCACAAGTTTAAATAAGGGGAGAAAAAAATACTTTTAAGTAGAGGCATATGTTTTTCTAATGTATTTGCAATCAGTTTTATATACAATTTTTGACAATTTATATATTATAGTTTTACCTTTTCCCCTTAAAACTGAAAAAATTAGTTTCACATTTTTCATATATAAAATAGTATTCAATTTTTAAAAATCCATACAAATGTTATTACTATTTCTTATTTAAGCCCTCATCAGTGTATTTTCTCTATTGTATTTTTGAATTCTGTAAACAAATTATTACATCACGACCTGTGCTTGTTAGAGATCAATGCTCAGTCACAGATTAGTGTCACTGAGTATAAACAATGTGAAATCTATGTGTGCTGGGACATACCATTCACCAAATTTCTTAGCTGTTTCACGACTGTCTCTATCAACTTCTGTTTGTCTCGATCATTCTTCCTGAATTGGGCAAATATATTGTTCTTTTTGCTAGTATCCTTCATCCTAGAAACAAATGTGAATGAATAAGGTTAGTAGGAGGAAATTAAAAGCTATGCTATCACAAGTAAAATATATTGGCAAGCTCCAAATTACCTCACACTAATTCTATGCTTAAAAAATATTCTTCAAAGAAAGAAGGTACTAATGTAGTTACAGATAGAGAAAACACTCACACACACACACACACACACACACACACACACATAAATGGTTTTATTTTACATTTTATATGAAGTGGTATTTTTGCATTAGAATGTAAATCTAAAATATGCTAAGTTTAAATATTATACCATTTTCTAATATTATTCCATAAAGTATGCTAAAATACTCTATGTGGATTCTGCAAACTACATTCACAGCAAGACAAGGTAAAAGGAAAAAATGCATTAGAAAATTTAAAACAGCAATGTTTTTGCCTCAGTGGTGTTTCATAACATTATAAATCTATATTTATTTTATTTAAAAAAATTTTGTAGTTGTAGATGGACACCATGACTTCATTTTATTTGTTTATTTTTGTGCAGTGCTAAGGATTGAACCCAGTGCCTCACACATGCCTTTA